AGAGCTTCTAAATCCGGCGTTTACCGCCGTGCTCTTCGGGCTGTCTTCTTTATTCCGGCGCTTGTTTTTGCTGCATCGTGGTTTCCCGTTTCCGTCCCTGACTTCGGATGTACTTGGGTCGCAGGTGCTGCATCGGGCTAATGAGCTATCCTCGCCCGCGCAAAAGCGGGTCATGAGGCTTGTTAATGCTGCCATTGTTCTCGGCTTTTCTTAGCCGAGGTGTCTGGCAAGCCATTCGTCTCGAACACTATGCTTAAAAGCTGCTAAGGCTTCGGCGTCCGGGCAGTCGACTATTTGGTTCTTTTTAGTGAGAAACCTGTTCCAAAGCTTTCGGGCTGACTCTCTGGGCTGTTGAGTTATATGACTCAAATAGTCTGCATCCGGTGGTCGGACATAGGTCCCTTGAAAATTTCCCCGAAAAGCGTCTTCAAGCTCTTCCCAGCTTCCAATGGAGTTTTCGGGGAGGCTTTTAAGCTAGTGCCGAGCTGGCCCTTTGAGCTTGAGGGGTAAGTACTTGATGGCGTGGAGATCATCTCCTCGAGCCATATGGATATGGAGGATGTAGTCCTCAATCCAGACCCCAGGGTCTGTCGTTCCGTCGTATGCCTCTATGTTTACGGGTTTGAATCTCTCTGGAAATTCGTGGTCCAGCACCTCATCGGTGAAACATAGGGGGTGTGCGGCACCCCTGTATTTGGGTGTACCGTGGTGTTGGGATGTTTGTTGTGTTGCATTGCATGCTGGAGGGCGCTTGCGTGGCCCGTAGATGGATCTGGTTGCGTCGTCCTTTTGATGCGAGCCCTCACGTGGATCGCGTACTGGCTTATGTGCGGCGTCGTTTGCCGTTCTATGTTGGCCACGAGGTCGTCTATCCGACCGGATGGTCGTTTTGTTTTTTGATTGTGGGGGATCTAAGGCCTCCTCATCGAATTCAGGTAGCAACTTTCGCTTCGGGTAGCTCTTGGTGTGGCGATTACCGCCGTACTTCGCTGCAGTGTTGAGTACTTCACTCCATCTGATTCTGAGTGTGTCTTGTGCAGCCCTGAGCCTTTGCTTCTGCTTTTTCAGACTCCTCGCAGTGGCAACAAGCCTTTGATGGGTATTCTGTTGCTCCGGTGCCTGTCCGGTGTGATGTTATTCAGACTGTTATCTTCGATGGAGTCGGGTTGTTCGGTTTGATTCTCCGTGTTGCCGTGGTCGGACGATGGTTCAATGCCGTGTTTGTCGTCCGCTGGCTCACCTTGCTCTATCGTTGGGTTTATAGGATCGCTGCTTCTGCCGAGGCGGGATTTGGAGCGGCGCTTACGCCACCGCTTTGACTGCTTCTCGAGGGAACAACCCTTCGCTGCGTCCTTCCGTTCTTCATCGTCGTTTTCTTTGGGTGTGTCCACCATGTATACATCATATGATGAAGTGGGCATCCAATGCCCTGTGGGCAGTGGTTCCTGTTTGTCTCCTGCATCGCCCTCCATACCGTCGATGCCTTCGGAGTCGAAGTCGAGCATGTCGGTCAAATCGTCAACAGTGGCTACTAAGTGGGTGGTGGGTGGGCGACGAATTTCTTCGTCATCCGCATCCCAATTCTGCCGTACATAGTTCGGCCAGGGCTCTCCTGACAGAGAGAGAGAGAGATCTTAATGAGTTCAGTATGTCGAAGAAAGGCGAGTGCTGAAAGATATCCGCGGAGGTGAACTCCAAGATCGGCGCCCAGCCGAATTCGATGGGCACGGGCGCAGGTGGTTCGGAGTCCGTGGCCGGGGAAGAATCCGGCAGTTTGGCGTCACGGCTCTCGTGAAGGGTAAGGTCGATACTCAGCTCGATCGCCGATGAGAGTGCGGCCTCCGTGGCGGGGTCTATCCACCCGTCACTGGATGGCGCAATTGGCTCCGATTTGAGGGTCAGAGCGGTCGTCGTTGCGATCTCCCGAACACTGTCCGATGGTGGAGCTAAGTCATGCTCATCGTGACCATGTGGCGCACTCGGCAAGGGCTTGAATCCTTCGAAGATCAAGTCTCCATGGATGTCGACTGTGTAGTTCAAGTTTCCAAATCAGACCTGATAGCCAGGGGCGTAGCTCTCGATCTGCTCCAGGTGGCCAAGCGAGTTGGCCCGTAGTGCGGAGCCACCGAATACAAAGATCTGTCCGGGGAGAAAAAGTCTCACCCTGGACTGCATCGCTATCGATGATCGAAGGAGCCATCAAGCCTAATGATGACGACACAGAGGAACTCTCAATGAAAGCACCAATGTCGGTGTCAAAACCGGCGGATCTCGGGTAGGGGGTCCCGAACTGTGCGTCTGAGGCGGATGGTAACAGGAGGCAGGGGACACGATGTTTTACCCAGGTTCGGGCCCTCTTGATGGAGGTAAAACCCTACGTCCTGCTTGATTATTCTTGATAATATGAGTACTACAAGAGTTGATCTACCACGAGATCAGAGAGGCTAAACCCTAGAAGCTAGCCTATGGTATGATTGTATGTTGTCCTACGGACTAAAACCCTCCGGTTTATATAGACATCGGAGGGGGCTAGGGTTATACAGAGTCGGTTACAAGAAAGGAGATCTACATATCCATATTTCCAAGCTTGCCTTCCACGCCAAGGAGAGTCCCATCCGGACACGGGACGAAGTCTTCAATCTTGTATCTTCATAGTCCGACAGTCCGGCCAAAGGATATAATCCGGCTGTCCGGATACCCCCTAATCCAGGACTCCCTCAGCACCCCTGCAGGGAAGTTTATCTATTTGAATAGTCGCGTCCCTCGGTAAAAGGACAACCCGGAGTTGTACCTCGACCTTATGACAACTAAAACCAGATACCTAATAAAACACACCCTTCCAAGTGCTAGATACAACCCGGTGATCGCTCTCTCACAGGGCGGCGAGGAGAGGATCGCCGGGTAGGTTTATGCTATGCGATGATACTTGGTTAACTTACCATCTACTCTCTTCTATTGCTTCAAGATGGAGGCTACCAAAAGCGTAGTCTTCGATAGGACTAGCTATCCCCCTCTTATTCTAGCATTCTGCAGTTCAGTCCACATATACTACCCCTTTCATTGATACCAATGCATATGTAGTGTAGTTCCTTGCTTGCGAGTACTTTGGATGAGTACTCACGGTTGCCTTGCTCCCCCCTTTCCCCCCTTTCTATACCTGGTTGTTGCGACCAGATGTTACAGCCCAACAGCCAGACGCCACCGACGATGACTCCTACTATATTGGAGGTGCCTACTACTACGTGCAGACCACCGACGACGACCAGGAGTAGTTTAGGAGGATCCCAGGCAGGAGGCATGTGCCTCTTTCGATATATATCCTAGTTTGTGCTAGCCATCTTATGGCAACTTGTTTAACTTATGTCTGTACTCAGATATTGTTGCTTCCGCTGACTCTTGTGCCTTCGAGCATTTGTATTCGAGTCTTCGAGGCCCATGGCTTGTAATATAAAGAATGTATTATTTTAATTTGTGTCTAGAGTTGTGTTGTGATATCTTCCCGTGAGTCCCTGATCTTGATCGTACACATTTGCGTGTATGATTAGTGTACGGTCAAATCGGGGGCATCACAACATTGTCTCAAATCAATGTACAATATCTGCAAGGCCGTGGTAGCAGTGTTTGGCCCTGAGTACCTGAGAGAGCCAAATGACGCAAATACAACCCGGTTGTTGGCGAGCAATGCAGATAAATGCTTTCCGGGAATGCTTGGGAGTATAGATTGTATGCATTGGAAGTGGAAGAACTAACAAGGGGCATGTCAAAGGTTGAACTGTCATACTAGAAGCCATGGCTTCACAAGATATTTAGATATGACACTCTTTCTTCGGCATGGCTGGTTCTTACAATGACATCAATGTGCTTCAGTGTTCTCCAGTGTTCGCAAGGCTTTGAGAAGGCCACTACCAAAGGTTGAATTTGAGATCAATGACCACCATTACAACAAGGGAGACTACCTACCTGGCGGTATTTATCCTTAGTGGTCAACTCTTGCAAAGACAATATAAAGAGAGGAGACAGAGGTTTGTCCAGCAACAAGAGACTACTAGGAAGGATGTGGGGCGTACTTTTGTTGTGCTTCAATATCGATGTGGTATCATTTGACACCCTGCACTGACATAGAGCACCGAGAAGTTTTGGGAGGTGATGACTACTTGTGTGATCATACACAACATGATCGTTGAGGATGAGTGTGATGACTACATCTATGGCTACGACTAAGGGTTTGAATATCAGGATGAAAATGTTATGCCTGGGCATCAAGAACCGACAATGTTTGAAGAGTTCACCCAATTCCATCTTATTTCCAACTCCAAAACGTCTTGGTTGAGCACACCAAGCACATGTGAAATCACATTGATAACCAATAGATATATTGGTTCATTTTCTTTCCATGCATTCAAGACAATTTCGATTGGGCTGTAAAACTATTTGATTGCGTTTTTATTCAAATGTGAAACTATTTGCAATGTTTAATTTATTTGTGTCAAACTATTTGCAATGTGCAATGTTCGGTTCAAAAAGTGTCTACATTTCGCCTCCGGTCAGCCGTGGCAGACCAGATGCGTCATCCGTCTTGGGCACACTGCCAAGAACACAGCCGGACACCGCCCATTTGCCCAACACAAACGGACAAAATTCAGACAAAACAGACGTCCATTTAAGGTCGCCCGTTGGATTTGGTCTAAGTTAGGTAAGAGTGATCAACAAGCAGCCATTGAAAAGTAGATGATTCGTATCAGTTTTCCTTCCTGTTAGGCGAGCAGGGATAATTCATACGCAGAGCTGACGCAACTAGACTAGTATACTATTGTTTTTTTGCGGGGAAACTAGACTAGTACTCCCTACTAATTTTGACTTGATGTTGAAGAAGAAGAAGAAAATTTTGACTTGACGTTCTGAAGTCGAGAACGAGAGGTCGCAAGTAGACACGAATGATGCGGTATCCCATGTACACAGTGCAGGCAAGTGCATGACCCAGACGAGAAGTATGCTTAGCATCACAGGGACTTGAAGTTGTACATGTAGCCCCTCAAGGTGCTGATATCTTGCATCGACTTCATTAGCATATGGTCCACATAGAGGCTCAATGCAGAAGCACTGCCAAACAAGACATGTAACAGGCGAGAATGTTGTCACTCGTGAATTCTCCGCAGAAAAGCAGGTCAAAGGAGGAGAAAGTAAACATACATCGAAGGGCCAAGCGGGAGCCACACTACATCCCATCGGATCCTTGGTAACCTGCAGGGGAGAAGAAACAAACATATGACTGAATAATAAGCTCTATGTGCTGTCGGTCAGTATCGGTCATGGCTGGAGCAGCATTAGCCTCATATGCTACGTTCTGACATAACAAGGATATACGAATTGTTTGTAGGATAACAATAACATACTTCAAGAGGTAGTATGTCCAGAAGATGGCAACCGCCATGCCAACATAGAATGAATACCACATCCACTTCTTTGAGGAGTTGGATGCTTGTAGTAGCCCCTTAACTGCGAATAAGCATGCAAGGGCAGCTATCCAATCTGCATTACTCACAATCATACATCATTGAAACGAAGAGAGGTTAAATTACTTATGTGTACATTAGGCTGGTCATAGCAGAGAGTAACATATGTGTGGTACTTATCATGCAAACTTTCATTTATTTAGATCTAGACTCATTTTGTCTTGGGGTGTGTTATGTTACGGTAACATATTAATGTTGCCACAAACACCTCCTCATTAAGCAAACTTGCCTTGGGATGCGCTATATTACTAGCTAAGTTACTCCCACTATGAGGTTGGTTGTAATGGGAGTGTCATAGCTAGTATCATGCATGCCAACTAGGCAGTTTTGATGAGGTGACACATAATTAAATGAAAAAAGAGACGGTTGAGTATCATATCATGATACCGTATCATAATAAATGCTATGCTAGTATGTGTCATGCATGTCACTAAATAAAGTACTACTCCCTCTGTTTCTAAATATAAGTCTTTTTAGAGATTCTAATGTGGACTACATACGGAGCAAAATGAGTGAATCTACACTCTAAAACATGTCTATATACATCTGTATGTAGTTCTTATTGAAATCTCTAAACAGACTTATATTTAGGAACGGAGGGAGTATATGATACTAATGTATGGTACTATGCATTAGGGAGGTAGTACCATATGCATGATACTAATATATGTTACTCCCCATTAAGACCGGCCTGACCAGCTTTAGTAACATATTTTGTTCCAGATGTTTTGGAATAAAATACTACTCCCTCGGTCCCTCCGATTCAAATTAATTGTCGTTGCTTTAATACAACTTTAGTACAAAATTGTACTAAAGCAGCGACAATTAATATGGCTCAGAGGGAGCAGCAAATAAGCCTACATGAATGAATTAATCATAACGGTACTGCCAGGCGCACCAGATGTGATCTTTCCTGATATCAGCCTTTCACTTAAAAGGAACTTACACTACCAATGACAGAAGAAGAGGGATCTGTGTTTTAGATGAACTGGTGCTCACCTCAAACTCTCTCCCTGCCATGTTTGCAATGGATATTCTTATTATGGGGTGCTGGCACATTTGGATGCAGAGAAACTCGAAGATATTCAACGCCCAAACCCATCAATTCAGTCTTGGAGGTTTTTAATCAGATATGACTTACAACTTGTACAGATAAGAGTCAAGAGCAAGTACAAGGAAGGTTTCAGTCATCGGATAGTCACATTTGATTTAGAACAATTGTTACATATGGATTTCCCTAGAGCTGGAAACTTTCATGAACTTTTTTTGTTGCTGTTAGCTTTGTACATATTTTTTATTTAAATGAAAATTACCGTACAGCAACTGTACTACAGTTTTCAGATTAAAAAAATGAGCTTACTAAAACCTCAATGGAAAAGTAAAAAAACATTTGAGGGGTGTTAACTGTAGATTGGTGGCAATAACAAGGGAAGCCCCTGGTGATGCAGGGACCTGATATAGGACATATATAATTCAGTCGCTTTCACAAAAGTAAGATGCAATGTTATTACCTTGAGCGAGTATGAACTCTCGTGTTTAAAGGTTGAATAATGCAACATGCAGACACTGTGTAAGCTGTTGTGAATTTTGTATGCAGAACAATGCCTTGCAACGATGACTTGTTTATGCTACCAGCTGTAAATATTCAGTAACCACTGTTACCTGCAACAATGACCATCGGCGAAGGCAAATCTTCCATAAAGTAAGCATGGTATCGCTGTTCATTTGCGCAGAATGAGTCAGACAACAATACATAAAGACATGATCGTTCCGAAATAAATTCACCAATACATGCAACATACACCATGATTTCGGGGATTATGATGGTTAAGCACTGTTGTACTAGTGAATGTTTTCAGAGTGTAGATAAAATTACAGAGCACTAATACATGTGCTATTAAAGAAAACTCCGTTATTTCAATGGACAAAATCCAACTAGTAGCTGCGACCAAACCCCAATCCACACAAAACTGACTTACGACGTATACTGCCAAATGCCAATGCTGAGCTCTACAGCAGTTGAAAGTGGCATTGAACATTGGATGAAATCATCACTGATAAAAAGTGAAGACCGTGTAAAGAATTAAGATAATAGCCTCAAGCAACTAACCAGCTCCCAGGGAGACCAGGCATGGTGGAAGCTGGAGTAGACGAGGAAGACCGTGTAGCTCAGGAGGAATCCCGCAAAGACGTGCTGCCCAATCAAGAAGCAACGGCCTAGTGTGAGAACCAAATCAAACTGAATAGAACCATTCCCCATGGCAAGACCTCCAAACCCTAAGTCGAACGAGTCGGTAATTGGCGGCGATACTTACCCTCCAACGGCGGCTTTGGTGCACCTGCTTCTGCTCCAGGGAACGGACCAGCTCCTCCTGCTCTGCGCGCAGATCACAAGGACGACAACAAATGCGAAAAGGGGTTCAGGAAATCGGGGATGGCTGGAATCCAAGCACAAGGGTGGGAGGAAAGGAGGTGCGCGCACGCTGGTACATGCCTTGGGTGTCCATGGGGACGAGATCGTCGGCGTCGTCGCTGCCGTCGCGCCGCTTCCACCATCTCCTCGTAGTCATCGCCGTCCGTCCTCCGGCCTGAAATCTATGCAGAGTTCCGGCGCACTGTTTCAGTTTGGAATGCAAAGCAGAACGAGATCTTCTGACGTAGAACAAAACTACTGCAGAGAGGGACGTCCAACACGGATCACCGTCCGCGCAGCATCCAGTGGCAACGGCTAAACACCGGCAGAACATAGCAAATCCATCGGCCCATGAGCATGATGCGGCCCAGTCCAATGAGATGGTGCGAGGACGACAAAAACGCACGAGGTCGACGGAACATAGTATTTTTGAACAACGCTAATGCCTATACATGTGGTATGAGCCAAACCCGCTCACACATCCTATAACACACAAACTGCATCATTTTATCGCATGCATGTATGTGCGATTTTTTTTGAATTTTTAGTTTTTAAAATAATTTATGTCTTAAATGAAAAATCCGATTGAAGATCCATTTTCACCATTAAATCCCTCGTAACGAGATCTTTGAAACTAGATCTCATATCAACATATTTCGATGAATTTTTTTAGGTTTAAAAGTTGCCGTATTTATTGCACATGAATTGCCATGATGTTTACTAAAGTTGTTATGATATGTTTCAGCTATTTTCTTCTACATTTAAAAGTAAATTTGACATTTATAAAACAAGGAATTAAGAAACTAGACTTTTCATGAACCATAAACTAAAATTGCCATGATACATGGACTTAAAATTGCCGTGGTTCATACAAAAATAATGTTTATGATCAAAGTATTGGACTTGCCATTATCGAAATACTAAAATTGTCATGCTCTACAAATTGAAATTGCCACATGGCAACTTTAGCTTAAGCACTATGACAACTATAGTGTAAACATCATGGCAACTTTTGGGCAAAAAAGAAATTCGTCGAAACATATCAACATGAGGTCTAGTTTTGAAAATCTCGTCGAGGCAGATTTAATAGTGAAAACGAATTTTTAATTTGATTTTTTTAATTAGGAGATAAAACATTTTTAAGCCAAAAATCTAAAAGATTCCTGCTGATGTCATATGTTTACATGTGGCAAAATGAGTGGTAAAGAAAGCATGTGGGTGATGTACAAGATGTCACACGTTTGGGCGTTAGTTTTTTCCATATATTTTTAACAAAATCCAGACACAAACGTTCATATACACACGCATACACTCATCCCTATGAATACACATGCACACCATATTCTCATGAGCACTATTAGAATAAATTCGAGGAATCGTCGATCATCCGAGGACTAAGCAATCATACGAGCACGATACTAAGATTTGTTAACGAGGTTCATCGATATGGCTACATTCTCGGGGCCTGACTATGGACGCTCCCCCACGATACCGCTACAATACCGCACCCGGTCGCCCTGGATGCCGGCACATGCCGCCTGCTTCCCCTGCGTTCCGGCGTTATTATGTTGGCATATGTTACATCGTGTGTCTATCCCTGCTATATATAAGAGGCCTAGGATACAAGTGTCCTACTTGAGCATGACTCCATATCCTATCTAACACAATCAACTACAAGTTCAACTATAACTTACCTTGTACACTATATTCGACATTACTCTAATAAATTCCACCTTGGCAAATATTCTTCACCATTTTGAATTTGTCAATGCGTCAAATTTCCATGTACATTGAATTTGAGCTTATTCCATGAGCACCGCTGCTACTCCAAGACTCCATGTGACTCTACCTGCAACTTCTAGTTCCTTCTTTTCTTGACCACAGTCAATGCTCCAGCGAAATTAAATTCCACATTACTCTAGTTTGCGCTCCTAACTTCCAGAGCATTAGTCCAACGCCATCACACACTGATTACTGACCTGCGTGAAAGTGAACAACTCACATATTGTGCATCGCACATAAGAGTTACCTGAACTCAACATCACCGCTCATTTCTTGACCGTCTGTCTGAAACTTGAAGGAATTTCACCATTGCTTGTAATCACCCCGAGTCAAATTCGCAGTTGTCTCACCACATGTATGACCACAAGAGCCTCGGCCCCTCTCCATATCCCATGCATACCGCACGCCTCGCCGCTATTACCGCGTCGAGTTTCTGCTGTCCCGGTCGAGTCTCAAGGGTCGCGAACCCACACCACTCAACCCTCACCGCAGAGTACCATCGACCATCACCGATAGATGACGAGTTTCACGCTTCCATCAGACCACTGCGCCCCAGTCCGAACTGCATGTCACTCACTTTTTTCCCGCGGCTGAATAGGCTTCGACTCTTTGTGCACTGACGCCATAGCCCCTCAATCCAGCTCCACCTTCAACGTGACTCCATGGTGGTTGTACGTGCCACCCCGCGCCTCGTTGACTCCAAGCTCTCATGTGCGCACCGTTTTGAATCAACCCCGCGTCATAGTCTTGTCAAAGCCACACAAGTCCTTAGGCATGCGCCACGTGTTTCCATGCCCCAGAAGTTGGTCACCATTAACATCACGCTCCTATGTCGTAATTGCCGATCCCACCACCGTCTTCTGTACCAACTGACTTGCGTCTATCCGTTAGACCCATCTAGTCCAACCCAGCCGAACTTTCCTGACTGCAACCATCTACAACTCTTCACAGTCCTCATCGTCCATCTGGCTTGACATCCCGCAACGCCTTCAAGCATCCTTGTTGTGCCAACAAAATTTTTATTTTTGTCTGCCATAACCCAAAGTTTTCAGTTTTATCGAACATCTCCACCTCAAACCTGGTACCCGTTGGCTCCATGGTTCTTTGTACAACCGACCTGTGAAAAAATACCAAGCACTCTTTCCGTGATCCCCAAGTACACCAAGTATACTAGTTGCAAATCCAACAGAACAGCTTCTAGTCTTCACGTGGAGTAGCTCCCTTGCACAACTTCAGATGCTAGCTTTGCTTCGTCAATGTCCTTGCATTATGATGTACCAATAGTATTGTCCTTGCCTTAATGTTGCACGTCTGCGGCCCAGACGTGAGGGACTCAGTCCCTTTTTATCTCAAACAAATCCTCGCTTCAGCATGTGTGCACGCAGCCTCATGCACCTAGCAGCCTCCACATTAGCCGGCCATGGCCCAGCAAGCGGCCACCTGCTCAGCCTCGTCCGAGTGGGTGATAAGTCTCCAACGTATCTATAATTTTTGATTGCTACATGCTATTATATTATCTATTTTGGATGTTAATGGGCTTTATTTTACACTTATATATCATTTTTGGGACTAACCTATTAACCGGAGGCCCAGCCCAAATTGCTGTTTTTTGCCTATTTTAGTGTTTCGCCGAAAAGGAATATCAAACGGAATGAAACCTTCGGGAGCGTTATTTTTGGAACAAACGTGATCCAGGAGACTTGGAGTAGGCGTCAAGAAACAATCGAGGAGGCCACAAGGCAGGGGGGCGCGCCCACCCCCCTGGGCGCGCCCTCCACCCTCGTGGGCCCCTCGTTGCTCCACCGACTTACTTCTTCCTCATGTATATATCTACGTACCCCGCAAACATCCAGGAGCACCACGAAAACCTAATTCCACCGCCGCAACCTTCTGTACCCAAGAGATCCCATCTTGGGGCCTTTTACGGAGCTTCGCCGGAGGGGGCATTGATCATGGAGGGCCTCTACATCAACTCCATGGCCTCTCCGGTGATGTGTGAGTAGTTTACTTCAGACCTTCGGGTCCATAGCTAGTAGCTAGATGGCTCCCTCTCTCTCTTTCTCTCTCTTTGGATCTCAATACAAAGTTCTCCCCGATTCTCTTGGAGATATATTCGATATAATCTTCTTTTGTGGTGTGTTTGTCGAGATCCGATGAATTGTGGGTTTATGATCAAGTTTATCTATGAACAATATTTGAATCTTCTCTGAATTCTTTTATGTATGATTGGTTTATCTTTGCAAGTCTCTTCGAATTATCAGTTTGGTTTGGCCCACTAGATTGATCTTTCTTGCAATGAGAGAAGTGCTTAGCTTTGGGTTCAATCTTGCGGTGCTCGATCCCGGTGACAGAAAGGGAAATGACACGTATTGTATTGTTGCCATCGAGGATAAAAAGATGGGGTTTACATCATATTGCATGAGTTTATTGTTGGGGAACGTAGTAATTTCAAAAAAATTCCTACGCACACGCAAGATCATGGTGATGCACAGCAACGAGAGGGGAGAGTGTTGTCTATGTACCCACGCAGACCGACTACGGAAGCGTTGACGCAACGTAGAGGAAGTAGTCGTACGTCTTCCCGATCCGACCGATCCAAGCACCGTTACTCCGGCACCTCCGAGTTCTTAGCACACGTACAGCTCGATGACGATCCCCGGGCTCCGATCCAGCAAAGCGTCGGGGAGGAGTTCCGTCAGCACGACGGCGTGGTGACGATCTTGATGTTCTACCGTCGCAGGGCTTCGCCTAAGCACTGCTACAATATAATCGAGGTGGAATATGGTGGCAGGGGGCACCGCACACGGCTAAGGAACGATCTCAATGATCAACTTGTGTGTCTAGGGGTGCCCCTGCCTCCGTATATAAAGGAGCCAAGGGGAGGGGGGCGGCCGGCCAAGGAGGGCGCGCCAAGGGAGTCCTACTCCCTCTGGGAGTAGGATTCCTCCCCCCAATCCTAGTTGGAGTAGGATTCGCTGAGGGGGAAAGAGAGAAAGGGGGGCCGACCACCTCTCCTTGTCCTAATAGGACTAGGGGAGGGGGGAGGCGCGCATCCCATCTTAGGCTGCCCCTTCTCCTTTCCATTAAAGCCCATTAAGGCCCATACAGCTCCCGGGGGGTTCCGGTAACCTCCCGGTACTCCGGTAAAATACCAATTTCACCCGGAACACTTCCGATATCCAAACATAGGCTTCCAATATATCAATCTTTATGTCTCAACCATTTCGAGACTCCTCGTCATGTCCGTGATCACATCCGGGACTCTGAACTAACTTCGGTACATCAAAATGCATAAACTCATAATAACTGTCATCGTAACGTTAAGCGTGCGGACCCTACGGTTCGAGAACAATGTAGACATGACCGAGACACATC